CAGTGGGGTTTGTTGGGGGGGGGGGGGGGGAACCGTTCTGGCAGTCTCCGGAAGCCTAACATTAAAATGGTGGCTGAGTCACATGGACCTTCTGCAAACTGCCGAACTTAAGAATGGTTTGGGATTGATCCATTTGGAGGACAGAGTGTATTCCACACAGTTTGGTGTAGTGGTTAAGTGTGCGGACTCTAATCCGGGAGAACCGGGTTTGATTTCCCACTCCTCCATGCACAGCTGCTGGATGACCTTGGGCAAGCCATAGTTCTGTCAGAGCTGTTCTTGAAAGAGCAGTTCTTTCAGAGCTCTCTCAGCGCCACCTACCTCACAGGGTGTCTGTTGTGGGGAGGGAAAGGGAAAGGAGTTTGTAAGCCGCTCTGAGACTCCAAGTGAAGGGCAGGGTATAAATCCAATCTCCTCCTCTCCTCCAGGACAGGCTTTAAAAAACTGCCAAAATCGCAAACAGTGTGAATGATCAAATTAAAGAATCACGAAGAGAAAACCATGCACATTTGCAAGGAAGGGCAGGAAATTAGTGATACTATGCAGCTGCTCTAGGACATTGGCAAAAATACCCCCCAATTTTTTTCTATTTAGTGGCACAAGACTAAAAAAGCTCTCCAGAGCTTCTGCCAGAGGTCTCCTCCCCCATACAAATTGCAGCCCTGTGCAAAGCGTGGTGGAGTTGCAGCCGACTTTGCACAGGTGTCTGCGCAGAAACATACATTGCCAGCTATCATCCATTCATTTCACAGTTTTCCCACTTAACTTCATGTTTCCACATTAGGCAAGGTATATAAATCAAAATAAAACATTTACACATTTCTTTCAGTTAAAATATGAAGGACATATTTTGGAGGGAAAATAGCAATAACTTGTCAACTGAGTAACTGATGGAACATATAAATGACCATTTTTGTCATTCCAAGGAAGTTACTTAATTTATAATGTAGCGCAAGTATCATTCTATAAGCAATACATCCTATTGTTCAGATTAAGCTAGTTAGATACAGAGGAATTATCAAGGAATGACTACAGCTGCTTTTCTTATCTGCAGCATTATCTGTTGGATTTTACACTGCTAGCTATCTTCGTTGATTTGTGCCATAAATAATAAGCATAAATCAAATGTTTGCTCCTTGTTTTCATTACTAGGAAATGAATAACAGGGTTCCTCAGTCAAAAATTCATACATGAATTGTAAAAATAAATTAAATTTTACTTAAGATTTCCCTTCATCTAAATGCTATCTGCTATCACACAGTATTTGCACTTAAGAATTTAGCTCATTAAACTAACATTGTCAAATATTTATCTAGAGATGCCGCCTTTCTCTTTAAAGGCTCTACATCAACAATACTGTGTGCAGCCACCAGGATCTATAGTAGTACCATTATTCTCCTGTCCATGCTGTTGCATAATAGGAATTTAGTTCTAAAAAAGGTGGGAGAGAGGAATGGAGATGAAGAATGTAGTGGAAAGAATGATGTTGTTGTTCAGTCGCACAGTCGAGTCCGACTCTTTGCGACCCCATGGACCAGATCACGCCAGGCCTTCCAGTCTTCCGCCGTCCTCTGAAGTTTGCTCAAAAGAATGATACCCATGGATTTTTTTTTAAAAGGTGGTATTCTCCCTAGGTGTAGACTCAGCAACTAAACTTGACTGATGAATCTGCAACAAATTTTGAAGTATATTTTTGAATTTCATTTTATATAAGTATATTCAAAATTTCATTTTAATACTGCCACATTAACAATCCATTAGAAATCTATGTACTTGAGGAAGAATGAATATTTCACTACCAGCATATTAACTATCTTTGCAGGGGGGACGGCACTCATTCTATTAGTGGAACATGCTCAAAATCACGTATATTGTAATGCTTTTCCTTCACTTCCTTTCTGCTCTTTCCATGGTTTTAAGAGAGTCCTTCTGTTTCACTTTCTTGTAAAGGCAGATACAAAGAAAACATACAAAAGCAAAATGTACAGCTTCATACACACCAGTTCATTCCTGCAAAAATTAAGATCCTCTCGCTTCATCTCAGATTTGAGAGTGCTCAGCTTTTTCATTATGCACCAAACACTACTGTTCTGACATAGATGGTGTGACTGGAAACTCCCAAACACATCAGCATTCTTACTAGAGAATTAGGCACACTCATGCCTAATTATATATTGTGAAAGGTAGATTGTGTGGCTGGCATCTGATATGTTATGTTGTTATGCAGTTATTGTAACAATTGCAACTATTGTTTTATACTCCACATGCGTTGTCTACTAATTATACCAACTATTCTTTATGCAGTATAATTCAGTGAAGAAGAACTGATACATATTAACATAAAAAGAACACTTGGATTACAAATACTCTTAAATCCTTCTTATTTCAGAGATGCAGCCAAATAATGTTTTTGACCATTTAATTTAATTTAATCACATAAAAGACAATACAATAAAAGACAAATCTCAAAACAGTTCAACAGCTGCAGTAGATTTGGAAAGCATCCAACTATCTGTTAGACATATGGAATGGGGGCACCTGAAAGATACAGTAAAGTCATTCATCATTTCTGCATGTTGTCATAGTAAGTCCTGAATGCTTTCTGCATCATAAATAAATAAGCCAGTTAATTTGAGAGAGCTGTTCTTTTCCCTAGGGTCAACATTTTAGAAAGCAAAGCTCCATCTCAGGACCAATTTCTAGCTGATCAGAGCAGAACAGAAGGCAAGAGGTTAATGACCCAGTTGGTATAACATGGCTCTTCAAAATCTGTGTGGAAAAATATCT